GCCCCCGCCGCCCCCCGGGGCTCTCCCGCCGCCCTACCTCATCCAGGTCCTTCGTCTGCTTCTTCGGCTGCTTCAGCGGCTTCTTCTTGCCGCCTGCAAAGACAGAGGAGACAGTGAGTGCCGGGCGGGGCCGCACAGACAGCCCCAGACCCGCGGCCCCGGCCCCAGCCTTACCCTCCCGGCCCGACATGGCTCCGCTCGCTCCGCCCGCCGCTCCCGCCGCTTCCGCCGCTGCCGCCGCCGCTTCCGCCGCCGCCGCTTCCGCCGCCGGGCCGGGGCAGGTACGGGGCGCGGCGGGGCAGGGCTGCGGCCGGGAGGGGATCGGCGGCTCGGCCGGGTCGGTGGAAGGGCCCCCCGGGCAGGGAAGGGTCGGTCGTGCGGAAGAAGGCGGCAGCGGGATGCGGGTGCGCGGTGGCGCCGCGGGAATGCCGGGTTGCGKTCGGGAGCGCTGCGGGAGCCGGGGACACGAGTCCCGCTCGCCACCCGCGCTGTCTGTGCGGCAGCTTTTGCGAGGGTGTTTGTCAGTGACTGCGGGCACAGGAAAAAACGCTTCTTGCYAGGGAAGCAAGAGAGGAACCAGGCACGTCATCTCAGATTAAGCTTTCAYAACTTTCTTGTGTCCTCTGAGCTCAGACTGAGATCACGTTCTTCAAARTCTGTGACTGTCTGCGTGGAAAAGTTTCCTCAAATCTCAGCTTTTTCTCTCTTTTTCTCTGTATTCCAGTAGCGTGAATATTTGGTTAAACTCTTCAGGTAGTAATTCAATTAAGAGAGGGGAATTTTGTAGTCTGGAACAGACAAAATTGAGCTGCTGTTTATGTGGCCTGCAATGTAGAGTCGGTGTTCGACACTGCTGTTAACAGTACATGTGTGAGTGCTGGCTGGAAGGAGAGAAAACTTCATTGCCATATTCTTGTGGGTYTGATCTTCCATGTTATGCATATAAAACAGCTGCTAAGATTTTCATAATGCCACTTGGTATTGTTATTAGTTGTTAGAAATAGTCTACAGGGAATGAAGTGGTTGTGTTCAGAATTTTTCTAGCTGGTACMATCCTTTTTTGGGGAGATGCCTGTATTGGCCACCTAAAATTAACAAGGAAAGCTCTTTTTAAAAAAATGAAAATACTATGCAGCATCTATCAAGTTTCCATAATAAGTCATGGYTTTGTATTATATTAGTCAAAATCTAATATAGTCATACTCAAATTTCATATAAAACCTTACAGAAAAGTTTTCTGGTTTACAGTTTTTAGAGGAATGTGCCTCAGTAGAACATTAAGATCATATTTAAAATTATTAGAGAATAAACCATAAGTAGCAGRCTGCTTTTGTGGGGTAAGCAAGAATTTTAACCTCGTTTTAAAATGCAGCCCTATATGTTAGAATGCTGTGCTTTCACTGCCTGAGATTTTTCTGTTCTTGTGGCTCTTCCTGATTTATGACTTTTGTAGGGAGTGTCCTGGGAATACTTGTGTTCGGTTCAACATTTTTGGGTTTTCCCTCTGTCCTTTGTGGTTTTGTCTTTGCATCCTTCAATATTTTCTGTATCTGTGCRGTGTGAGATAAAGGGAATGATCTTTTCTTATCAAGATTTTGTCCCCTCTCTGCCTTTTTTTCCCCTTTCCTGTTCTTTTGCAGAATTGTGAGTACCTGTGACACAAACCACATCGTGCAATCATTGCTGTGCTGAAGCACTAAATTTTTCTGAAGTTACTCCTGCTGTTACTGGATCTGCACATGATCACTGTTCACGCCGTGGGTGAATTAGTAATCAAGAAGCATGAAGCATGGTGGGAGTACTTCTTAACAGAAAATCAGSAATCTGTGGCACAACTGCACTTTGTTGAAAATTGTGGAAAATTCTCTAGGTAAGCAGTGGTGTAAAACTAGCAGTGGTTTAACCACTGTTGAATTGACTGGTTTTGACACACGTGTAGTTGAAGAGCTATGAATCAGCCATACTTCAATAACTTCTTCTTTCTTCTTTGCAGCGCTTTTATTTTGTGATTAAATTCAAGACATGGGGCCTATGAAATATAAAYCAAGTATGTCCTCAATGTCCTGTGGTCTGCAGTATCACCATTCACTGATGAAGTGGAATCCAAAAGTGAATTTACACATGGTGAGGACTTACTGCCCCTCAGCGCCCAAGCGRCCCGAAGCCAAGTCTGCCATGGAAATGGCCATGGGTCTCCTTCATCGAATCACGGAATCGGGGACTGTCATGGGGAAAAACTCCCTCCAAAAAGTGTCTGCAACGTGCAGGAATTGGTGGGACAGATACGAAGAATTTGTTGGAATTAATGAAGTTCGAGAGGCTCAGGGAAAGGTGACAGAGGTAAACATGGAGATAATGTGGAATTTTAAAAATTATGAGTTAAGCTGTACGAAGCATAAGCACTGGCTGTGAGGCAAAAAAGATTCTCCAAGGAGAATTAGGTCTTTTTTTGCTTTGGCTGTCTGTGCAGGTACTGTGAACGTGTTCTAGGCTATGCATGTAGTAAATAGAGCTTTTCACCTGAATTGAAACAGTGTGGTTTGTTTTGTTGTTTTTTTTCCTCCCTGCCCACCCCCTGCCACAAAAAAAATTATAATTAGCAATTTAGATCTGTATGGTTATAAATCTCTAAAATAAATGCTCTTTCTTCTCAGGCAGAAAATGTCTTTATGATAGCTCGAGGGATAGTGCGAGAGGCTCGTGAAAATGTAGAAGCCCAACAGATAAAACTGAAGGAAATTCGGGATCGCTTAGACAGGGTCTCTCGGGATGACACCCAGTATTTAGAACTGGCTACTCTGGAACACAGGTTGCTGCAGGTAATTTGTTGGTAYTTAARCATTGGCAAATATGTTGAAATTTTMTGTCTTTTGTTTCCTTCACTAATGATTTTGTTTGTAGATGCAGTTCAGTTCTGAAATAAGTGATCAGAGTTAATTTTTCAGGATACTTGTTTTAGTTAGTTATTAATGGTTTGATCCTCTGTGAAAATTGTATGTGTTAATGCTAAAACAGAGTAGTAAATTTGGACAATAAAACTGAAGATAATGAGCCTAGAAAATTAACTGTTGCAGTGGTGACCTGTGCATGAGAAGTCAAGAAAAAGCTGCCATTCAATAAATTAATCTTTCATGGGATAAGAGAAACTCCTTTCTGGTCAATCCATGGAAATTCTCTCAGCTCCCTTCTGCTGGTGTCTGGAGAAGTAAGCAGGGCTGAAACAATGAATATTATGAGGAATTAAAGACCTTGCTCTCAAACCCCTTTTCTGTCATCACCACACAGATTCTCATGTATAGGATCTTCCTCTRTGATTCCTGACAACCTTTTCCATTTCTCAGGCTTAAAATGATGCCTCATTAGCTTGAGTAGGATTAATTTTAAAAAATCCCATGTTCAAGGGAAAATTTCTGAAACAGCTAATAGATGTTCCCAGTTTCCATTCCTTCATCTGTACTTAGGTTTTGGGGTTTGAAGTGTTTTTTTTCCTTCAGTATAGATTTTATAACTTCCTATTATACCTTCTCCTTTCATCACTGTTTCTTGCAGGAAGAGAAGAGGTACCGAATTGCATATTTAAATGCAGAAGAGTCTGAGAGAGAAAAATTCTCTCTCTTCTCTGCAGCTGTCAGGGAAAGCCATGAAAAAGAGCGCACAAGAGCTGAAAAAACAAAGAACTGGTCTATTATTGGCTCTGTACTGGGAGCCATTATAGGTGTTCTTGGCTCCACYTATGTCAATCGAGTAAGGCTGCAAGAATTGAAAGTCTTGGTGCTTGAAGCACAGAAGGGCCCAATAAATTTACAAGAAGCCATCAAAGAACAGGCCTCCAACCATTACTCGCAGCAGAAAGATCTCAGTGATGTCATAGAAGACCTAAAAAACATGCTGCAAACAACAGCATCACGAGGAGTGAAAGAAGGAGCTTTGTTGCCTAGAGAAACCAGGAATGACTCCATAAAAATAGATTCTCTTTTAATGCCTTTAAATGARCAGCTAAACTACATTAAACAAGTTAGTTCATGTCTAGGGAGTTTACAACAGCAGTTCAACAGTCTGCAGGAAAGTATCACGCAGGTGCTGTCTGAGCTGCAGAGTGTCAAACTCGCCATCCACTCCAGACCTACAGAAAGAGTGATGCCAAGGCCTTCAGGGGAGGGAAAAGGCCAGGCTGCTGCTGTGAGAGATGTGATTTTGGAATTGTGTGATACTGAGCGGAGACTGGAAACGCAAATCAAGAGAAGTTCTATTTACAGCACTGCATTGACGTGTGCTATGTTTGCMATTACTCTGCCTGTGCTCTATATCATACTGAAAGGGAACTGATCCCTAATTTAATGCCACAACTTACTAGATTAATAAAGGTAAACTTGCACTCGTAGTGCCTGGAGTACAAGTCCAAATAAAGCTGCCTTAGTGTTTCTCATTGTGCTTTCTCCTGTATATTTGAAAAACTTGCAGCGTCTTAGTCCATTAGTGCTGCAGTCTCCATGTCAAGTCTCTATCACACACAGTGCTTTTTAACAAGCAAAGGAAATGCCGCAGTTTGATCTGTTGTTTTTGTTCACTATTTCACTCTTAATGTCTTGTATATCAAGACAAGAGTCCAAAATGCTCTCTCAGCCCCAAATTGCATCCATGAGGCCCAAAATGGCCCCCAGCAGCCCCCAATTTGTGCTTCTGGTTGCTCACAGTGGTCCCAGTTGTCCCCATCAGGCTTCACTCACCCCGCTGGACCCCAGTTTGCATCCCCAGTGGCCTCAGTAGCCCAGCACAGGCTCAGAAGTGTAATCAGGTACATCCCCTGGGTGCTCTGACCCAGAGATCCCCTTACCCAGCCCTGAGCCACTCCCTGCAGCCCCCAGCCACCTCCTAGACCCCTTGAGATTCTGGAGTTCAGACACATTTAYTGCTGGGACAGAGGTTTAGGGGGCTGACCCATGGACTGACAATGTCCCTCCATCCCCACAGTTCCCCTCTTTCCCAGGTGTGGGCACAAGGAGGAGTCTTCTTCCAGTTGCACAGAGCCAGAACTGAGCTGAGGTGACCCCTCCAAGTTCCTGTGTGCCCCCCAGAGCCATCAGTGTCCCCCTGTCACCTCCTTCCCCACCCAGGACACCATGAGGTTCTAATACATCTTCACTGCCCTGCACTGCTGGATGAGCACCTCAGGACGGACCTGGTATACCAGACTTGATATACAGTAATTTTTTTCGCTCTGAGCTGTATTTGTTCAAATTATTCCTTTGCTCTGTCATTGATCTAAATGTTTCATGTATAATGCTCTAATTGTTCATGCACGAAATGCCAGCAGTTGTTTTACCAAAGAGCCAGATGATGAATTGAAAATTCTGAAGTTACACTGTATACTGAAGTTACACTATACACTGAATACTGTAACTGAAGTTATACTTGGTAACCTCTTCCTAGGACCATTTGTCAYGAAGTATCCAAAAGCATTTCAGAAGTTTCGGCTGTCTGTTACTGATAGCTCCCTGTCCTTCAAGGCTGGCAGGTAGGGAAAGAGGAAAAGTGTTCTGATACGGAGCTGTGTTAAATATGATAATGTTTATTCTGACAACATAAGCCAATTATGCTTTCTCTGCAGACTCCTTAACCCGTMATTCCCGAGGTATTTTGTGGTTTTAGTAATCATCTATGGAGCAATCACTTTCTTGTCTTTGCTAGTATCTCATTGGAACTTTCTCCAAGGGTGGGTTGGTTTTTTTGGTTTTTTTTTTCCTAATTTTGTCCTGCCTAGAAATTGAAATACTGCTCTACATCAGGTGCTTTTAAGCCAGTACATTAGCAGTAATAAACACAAACTACTCAAAAATAATATTTGGAAAGAAGCAAAAGGTCCAKCTGCCTGTTTTCCCTGGAAAGATGAGAATTGGCTGATTGAGGCAAAACACTTGTCTGAASAGCTAAACACCAGTATCTGTGTGTGGCCTCACACAAGGTTTCAGCTATGGGTCAGATAAGAAGCAGTTTTCTCCCTGTGCTGGCAGCAGACAGGCAAATCCCAAGTGGAACTCCTGCTTCATGAACACTTCTGTGGGACCTTTGCAGGCAAAGGAGTGGTGTGCTCACTTCATGCTTTAATGCCTCTGTGTGAGCAACTGGGAATGAATCCTGTCTGCTGCACACTCTGCTGTGGTGGGACTTCTTTCTGTTTTAAGAAAGATTGAGGTTTTGATTATAAGCTCCTAAGACTGCAAGATCTTTAGAAGAGGGACATAGGAGGCACCCACTGGATTTGGCATCACTGGGTGCTAATGACGGAATAAAGAAACAATGTTAGGAATGATCTTTGATGATTCACTACTGTAAGAGAGATGAGGGGTGCCAAAAGTGGTTTTGCAAAGCACCACTGCTGATTTATACATTGATTATTTGGAGTGTGAAGTGAGTAACAAGCACTTGTCAGGGAAGCAGTTTGATCTGCTGGCTTGAGAACTGAGATAAAAATTCCAATACACTTAGCTATGTCAAGAAGTGGGCATAYAGATCAACAGGATTTTCAACTATATAATATTTCATTTTCTAATTTCACAAATATTTTTACAAGTTATATTTCTTTCAGGTGCTTGATGAAAATCAGAGATAAATGTGTAGTTTAAAGGAAAAGACTAGTACAATGGTTCTCTTTGTAATTTGCCACACGAGTCACTGAGACTTTTGTTCTGGTTTGGGGTTTAGGGTTTTTTCTTCAGTTTAACTGCATGATGTTGGCCCCCCTTACTATGTAACTGGTTGAACTTCTAATTTGATATCACTGAATATGTGGATTATATATATCAGCATGTTTTTAAATGCTGAAGGTTAGGCAGCTAAACTTGAAAGTCAGGGCAGCACTCAGTGAATTGTACTTGGTGGCATCAAAAATAAGAAGAGGTCAGAGACTAAACTTGTATACAATAAATGAGAATACGAAACCAAGGGCTGTTTATTGCTCTCCTGCTGTTTATCCATTTAAAGGAGTTTTACAATAGTCCATAGCTTTAACTCTACATAGAGTTACAGRAAGAAAATGTCAGTCAATGACTGTATGAACAGTCAATGAATGAGTAGCATACAAATCTGTGATAAATGATTGTTTGAAATACACAGTCTGAAATTTTAGAAGAGCTGGAAGGTGTGAAATGTATCAAGATGAAAAYAACTGGACCTCATCCTTTGTAGGGAGTTCTGAAGACTCGAGAACAGATTCTRTGTGCAGCTGGCAGAGCTCAGTGCTACAAGTGATTACCATGGCTTGCTTAGTTCTGCTCTTCCTTGCTAAATCCTCCTATGTGAAGTGACAGCAGAATAATTTCAATTAGGAAAAAACCCTTGTAATTAACTGTGACTATATAATAATTAGAAGAGGAGATTTGTGCATTCCCTCAATCCTGGATTAATCATCGCTCCATTGTGGCGATGATSTCAATGTGTAGCTTTGGCACTGCACTGTATGTGCACCCCAAAGCCAGAAGGTGTGGCTGCAGTGACAGCTGTACCTGAGCTGGCTGAAGGCAACATCCAGGAAGATGCTCTAACATGGACTTTCTGTATAATCTGTTCAGTACTAAACCTTTGTCACGGTAACGCCGGCAGCAAATACACGAGTTTAAACAAAACCAGCCCAGCCGTACAGGGGGTGTTTGCCTGGGCACTCACCTCAGTTCGGGAACATTTGCAGCAGTGATTTACAGAGCACATGACACCCCAGTGCATGTTTCCTGATGATTCAGCCTGGACTAAGTGAATACTTTGTTGCCTKTGCTCTTCAGGTCTATTCTAGTTAGAAGAAAAAAAAAAAAAAAAGGCATTCTGGTGTTCTATTGCATACCTTTGGGTTATTAAAAAAGGATTATAATAGATAGTTGAGTTTCACTTTTGGAACGAGGTCTCTCAGCAGACACTTTCTTCAACTAGTAAGTTCTGCTTGCTAAGGCTTTTTGAGACTTGAATCTTTGCTGTTTCTGTGAGCAAAGGCATCTCTGGGCAGGATGGCTCAGCCAGCCCCGTGTCCCAAACRCTCATCCAAGGAGGATGGTGGCTGCAATATCATGTACAGCTCTGGTGAGGCCAGGGACTGACCTGGGCACTGTGATCAGGTCAGAGGAAGCCAGCACTCCTTCAGATTAATTTCCCTGTCTGGCAAGACACAGAAGCTGAGTTAGAGAGAGAACCTGGTGAGAGCAACAGGGAGCCCTTTGATAGACATTAAGTRCAGAAAAATGGGTGGCAGTGGCCTGAGCTTGGCCCATGTTAAGCTATTTTGAGTTCTTACTGCTCCTTGAGAAACCACCAGTAACTCAAAAGCAAACAGCTCGTGGCTATGGAAATAACTTTGAATGAGGTCACTGCAGACTTCTAACAGTAGGTGCATTCTGAAAAGTTGCCGTTCCTTCCACTCATGAGAGGACTAGAAAATGTTGCTTAAGAAGACAGGACAAAAGCAGTTTGATATAGTGTCACAATCAGGATGTATATTTATTTATTTATGCTTGAGTTTTCAATGTTCCAACGTTCTAGGATCCTGGTCGGAAGCTGCAGGTGCTCCTGTAAGTCTCTTTGCATTTTTTTGTTTGGAAAAGACAATTCTTTTCACAACATGCCTTCTAAAAACAAATACTTCCCTCTTTGTGGAGCATAGGAGTGGCAGAGATGTCCTGTTTACCTCAGAAACAGGGCTGAGATTTGCAATAGGAGTGAGGTTCCTGAGTTAGGAAAAGGGAGACAATGCTGGATTTGTCCATAATATATTTAGAACTCTACTTCATTGCCAGATTTTTGCTAGCAAGCTACATTTGTGACCTTCCACATAAAACATAGAGAAGTGAGATTTCTGGTGCTTGACAATTAAATAATCTGAGAAGGTCTGTGCTTAAACACAGCAGCAGAGCTCCAAGATAAAGGGATTGCCACAAGCATCCCAAGCTTGTTTTTCTGTGTTCTGCAGGGAGGGAGAAAAGCAAACCTATGCAAATAGGTGTGTGCTCAGAGTCTCTTGCTCTACCTCTTCAGATTCCGGGGTGTTGGGTAATTTTTTATTCAAAATCAAATCCTTAAACATCAACAGACTGCTGCTAGCAGAATTGTAGGTGCCCAAATGCACACATCAAAGACCTTAATGCTGTTTATAAATGTACTGAGCAACTGAAAGATTGAAAGGCATGGAGTCAGATATGAAGTAGTGCAGATGTAGTTAACCTTCTGCTGGGTCCCTGAATCACTGCTCTAAATACACTTTATTCCCAGGAGCTRCAGACAGTGTTCACATATCCCTCGTGACTTTCTTAACCCGTCTCATCCCCTGCTTGGAGGAGAGGAAGAGTAAGGAGGAAATCAAAAGGAGCATAAGCAGCTGCTGGCCTTGTGATTATCATAATRGTTACGTAAGAAACTTAGCTAACCTGCTTAGGACCAGACATTATCAGGGGGTTTTACAGAAAAGGATCCTTTAGGGATTTAAATACACTAAAAACAACACAGAAAACCAAATGTAGGTAAAAAGCAGTTGAAATTTGTTCCACGATGTTTGTTCTTTGTATGCCAACATTTTCAGCTGTGTAATGTTTGAGAATTAGCTTTTTCTCTAGGGTTTGATTGGTTTGAGTTTTTTTTTAAGAACTGCAAAATTTTTATAAATTAAAAACTCTTCCTAGAAGGGGGAATGGTTAATCCTACAGTGGTTTTACGATATCCTTGTCACTCAGGAGGGCTGTAAGAGGGGTGGGAGGTGGGCAYTATAACACCCCTAAAGTGCACAGAAGCACTTCTTGCCCTGCTCCTACGTCAGACTCTGCAGCCAGTTCCCTGTACCAACCCTGCCTGGGGGCAGAAGGAAAAGTTTCTCCTTTCAAATGTATTTTCATGGAGTTTTTTGCTGTTTTTAACGTGAAGCTTGCAGATGTTTTTTATCAGACAGAAGGGGCTGCAGGTTGGGACTGGCTCTGGAGGAAAGGCACAAAGAGGATTAGTGTTTTGAGTCAGGAATGGGTTGGAGCAAAGAAAAATTAGGATTTTTTTTTTTTTTTAATGCTCTTAGTCACCAAAACTGGATTTTGGTGGATGCAGCTTGAGTGCAGTTAAAACGTCTCTGATTAGTGAGATGATAATTCAGTGAATTCTAAGCTGAAGAGCGATTCAGTGGGTAGGGTGTGGTAATAGGATGGCTTTTTCTGTGTGGGGAGAAGAACAAGTAAGGGATCATCTCCTCAGGGGTCTTCATGGGCTCTGCATACAGCAGGCACCACAGACTTTTCAGCATAACGAAGGGCTAGGGMGCAAAGGTCCAGAGAGGCAGCCAGCAGTTGCCTCTGAAATAATCTTTCCTTTGGGAGACTGTGGTCATGCTGCCAGATTCTGTGGACTGTTCAGCATCTCTAAATGCTCAGACATATTTTTTTCCTTCATAAAAGCTTGGGGSTGGGGGTGGGGGTATGAGAGACTGATGTGTTGTAACAAAGACAGTAGATGTTTAATGACACTTCTGGACATGGGATCTATACCAACTATGTCCCTCTGAAATGTCAGAAATGCACGTGGGAGGAAAGCCCGATTCAGACTTCCAGAGCAGCTTTATGTCTTCAGTGGAGATCTGTAGCTTCGTCTGTARCCAAAAAGGAGAAGTGATGGGCACCCCTGGCATAAAACAAACTCTGTACTTTGCACAACCCAGGCCAGTGCACTCTTCCTCCGAGTTTGCTGTTACCTACAGCTCCTGCATCACTTCTTCATATCCTCAGAGATGTTTTCTTTCCCCCACAGAGAATTTGTGGCTGGGTGCTTAAGGCATAACTCCATCTTTTGTCTGGGRTTGCCAAACATCTGGCAGTCAGCTCAGCAGGAAAACGTCCCGTACTTACAGGCAGTCACTGCATGTATAGCAAGTCAGTTGTTAGACTAACTGTATATTCGCTGAGCAACAACACTGCAGAGCACAGCACATCTGGGGAACACAGAAGTTACAGTGTGAGCGAGAAAAATGGGAGCATTAATTCTGCTCCTCTTAGAGCTGTTACTGACAGAACTTACCCTTAATTCAGAGAGAGGATTTTATGCAGTCAGTTCTCAGTGTCAAGAAATGCCTTTGTCTCTCACACAGAGCACCAGCCTCTGCTCTGCTCATAACTGGAGCTTCCAGCTTCACAGGAATAAAAATCACAAAACCAGCAGTCAGTTTATATTACACATATCACTTCAGGCGCTTCTGCTTTATGGTGCTTTTGTCTCCACCGTCTTTCGGCTGGAATGSTATGTCCTTCCCTGTTTTGCAACTGGAGATAACTATGCTTTTGTCACATTCTTCAATCTCGCTAATGTGSTGGTTCCCACATACGCTGCAAACGGGAGCAGGGCTGTGCCTAAAACTCCCGATGCTGTGTGTGTTCAGGCAGACAAACTGGGTTTGCTGTCAGGTTTTGCTCCCTGTGCCCCGTGTCCCTGCAGCTTCCCGCTCACTCGCACCTCTTGGCTGAGGACAGCCGAACACAAAGGCTTGTCGAGCCTAACTGCAAAATTGCGWCGCTACAAACGCAGAGACAAGAGCAATTCTGAGATTTCTTCCGAAATACAGAGCTTTAAACCCAGCTCTGGCCAGCGGAGCCGCGGACCCCTCTGGCGCAGCGCTGTGCGTTCGGACCGGCCGGCAGCCGCCCSTCGTTTTGGCGGCAATGTCCAGAAGAGCCGCCGGTGGCCGGGCCTTGCTCGGTAGAGGCAGGGGCTGGTTGTCCCGAGCGACAGGAGCCCCTTGTCCGCTGCCGCCCCTCCGGGATGGGGATCCCGGGCACGGCCCGGGCGCGGAGGGGCCGCTGGCCACGCCCCCTTTCTCCGCCAGCCAATGGGGTCTCGCCGCCGGCCGCGCGCGTGGGGGGGGCAGCCGGATCCTGCGGGGCGGGGCCGCTTTGGGG